CAATTAAGTGGAGGCTTTTAACCCAGGTAAACCAATCATCGCACTTGTGGATGGTCAGAACTGGTGTTAGCGCGCCGTAGCTGCATTGACGGATTGCTTTTTTGCCGTCTCTCAACGTTCTTATTTTTCCACATGGAGTAGAACCCATATGTGAAGCAGGAAGTTGTCACAACCGCAACAAGAGTCTGCCCAGTCTGACCCCAACTACTTATATCATTGGCCGCTGGGAGATCGAAGCCTGATAGGGTGACCTCGATAGTAACCATTGAAGAGAGAGCGATGACTATGGATTCTCGGTACTTGGTGAACGCGGTTGCTGGGATGGAATCGTATACAGTGTTCTCGATGCCTTTGATATTGGTGTTACTGTCTCCACGTGAAAACTTTTCGGCCGCATCGTAGTGATCCATGTAGGAGAAGCAGAGCCATACTCCATGAATTATGGTGACGGCCTTGCAAACTAGGTACATCCAAAAGGTTTTCGCGGGACCAACGCAGGAGTCGAATGGACCCCACCAATACGCCTGAAAGCAGGGACATGATTCGACAGAGATGTCCAATTTTTGCTCCAAACCAGTGTGATGAAATGAAGACATAGTCTTTGCTAGAACAATCATTGAAAAGAAAATTGAACCAAATAGCCTACCCGTATGAGTTGGCGGGCTGCAAGGCATTCTTTCATGGAAAAGGTAATGGGTGTAAGGAACGTCAAACAGTCCAAAATCATAGACCCAAGTAATTTATCCGCTGGATTCAATTCCTTCGTCCAAAGACTCCAGGTATATATTATCTGTGACCCGACTAGCGTAGTAGCGATGCCTTTAAGGCCCGTCTCTTCTGCATGATAGTGGCCCAAAAGAGCTGTCAACATCACTATTGTCGCCGGAACCCACAAACTAACTCGAACACCCAGTCCGGCAACATCTGGGTTTAGGACGCTGCAGCCTTGAGGGGATTCGGCAAACCGCCAGAACACCCCCGTAAGGATCACGATCACCACAGATAACAAGAGCCAAGCAGCAGCAGGGCTATGTAAGACTAGATTCCGTTGGGCTTCGGACAATTTCTTTTCAACTGAACATCCAGCCGGAGCAGGCAGTACTGGTGGTTGCGCGGGTAACTCGTAGGTTTTACGCAACTCGACGATATATGAGACGATAGTGACAAGTATAGCAAACGGCAAGAAGAGAAATAGAGCGCTGTCGATAACTGGGGCAGTGTCCTCACGTTCAACAGGAACAGATGTGTCGGAAAAGCCAGTTGCAAATGGCAATGAACAAAAAATCAATGTGGTCCACATCGGCGGCCAGACATTATGACTATCAAGCCAGCAGCTTGGAGAGAGGGTTTGAGCCTTGTGGCAATGAACTCAACGTTAGAGCTATTGCGGTAAATAAAGGTACGAAGAGGGTGCATACATATAGTGAATGATGCCAGAACCTGGCTAACATATGACGGGCGGTCTCAAGGTTCACAATGATTCCCAGATGGGCTGAGATCTAAGACATAGAGTGGGTACATACAGTATTAGAAGCAAACACCATCACTTTTGTTCATGAAGGGGTACGAACGTAAGATAATATGAGGCTTAATCCTTTTCGGGCATAGGGGGTTGTCGAGGGAGATGGCAGCTGGGGAAGATAATGTATTAGCGGGCGTACGTAAGTCTCGCCGAGGTTGAGGACGGAGTTAACCGCTCGCAGAAAAAGGATGATTTTATCTATTTACCTCCGATATTTGAGCCAAGCGATTCATCGGGGATGACAAGCTTATCGATAGAGATGGAGCCGTCGTACTTATATGTCGGCCCTGGGCGTTGGCGGCAGGTTCTTTCCGTGTCTCGCGTTCTAATCCGGGTCTTTCGTGTGGTTCGTTCATATGATAATTTTCTTTCTCGCAGCGAGGTAAATCAGTTGATATTGAGTATATAAAGATCTTTAGTAGAGGGGTATGTGGTAATGATTGCGAGAACAGAAGTAAATCTCAGCCTCAGGCTCAGCGCTTGACAGATGTGTGATGATGATTGGTTTTGCTTTACGCCTATCTTAGCCTTGTTAGGGTTAGGCTTGGGAAGGGGTCGACCTACCAATAGCGGAGTAGAAATGATGATTTCGCAAGAAGTGGTAAATCATGTAATGGTTAGAATTTGACCCTCCTAGTTGACCAATTCCTTATACGATATATTCCATAATTTGTGGAAAGGTCTCCATATATAAATTCTAACGACCTTATTGGCCAATTAGAGGGCTGGTAGTGATGCGGTTACCAGTAAATGTTGCTGGCCCCATTTGCATGAAGATTATATTTATCATAGCACCTCAGACAAATAACATTCCATTACTTAGTTCATAGTTAGTAAACCCATCATTCGGGAATTTCATCTTCGCGCAATTCCGCAATAATCGCATGAGAGAAGTCTTTGTCTACCGCAGCCAAAGCTTACTACCGTCCAACTTGACAGACAAAAGCTTGGACAGACAGATATTCTCAATTTTGTCTACTGCCAGCAGGCATAGGAAATGATTTTCGAGGCCTAGCCAGCACATGCAAACCATGACGAGAACTAGGCCCACATTGGTTTATCCTATTCAAAGTGGTCAACACGGTGATAGCACTCAAACATCCTTTTGATCTTGTGCCATATTTCTTCGATGATGGCGCCTTTATAATTGTAGATTACCCGTTGTGGTAGGTACTTCAGGTTACCAAAAACCAATTGATACGTTCGATATTTCTACTCAACATTATAGAAGTCGCCCGTAAACTATAAGCGCCATATAGAGACGAGGAGGATACGCGTACTCCTTAATCTTCCGGTAGAAGTGCATCATTCTTAATCCAGGTACAGCGATGGATAGTTTCGATGAATGCTGAATTATCAGCGGAGAAGAAAGTCCAAGAAACGGAGAGACAGCACCTACAATGTCTGTTTTGGTGCCTCCACGATATTCAGAGAGGGGCTTAATCCACTCATCTGCCTGGTGGCCTAGTGAATACCTTCTGACCCCCGCTTGATCCTCCTGAGCCTGGGAGCGTAAAGAAATCCATCAATCAACTCGAAGTATGTAACTCCTGATGGAGATAGAGGCGAGGGGTCTCCTTCCACTCTAGCGTACTATCTCATACCTCAAGCCACGCCTCCGTTCCAGCAAGAAGTGGCCGCTCTTGTCGTGTTCTAGACACATACCCAGTTGAAGACCAGGCCGGACGAGTCCACACACATATGCCATAGTATGAACGATATCACATTGAATACCGGTCGCGTGGAGGCCACATAGTAGGGTGTCAAGGTCCAATGGAATTACTTGCCGCCTTCACTCCGGCCGCCGTCTTTCTCTGCAATTACGATGTTGCCAAAAGATTCTAAGATGCGATGTTGTTAGATGTCGAGAGTGACATCTGTGAGATACCTTAGCGCCAAAAGCGCCAAGCCAAGCCACGGCTTGGCATATCGGCTTGCCAAGCCAGTGAATGAGATGCGTGGAGGATCAGTCGATGATGGTATTATAACCCTTGAGTTATCCCCGACTTTCCTCAAGCTTTTAGGCTCGTCGATCGATCAACCCAGGGGATTAAACTCGATCAGGAGCACAATGGGTGCAACTTACAAAACGTAACGGTGATGGCCTCTATAGAGTACTGTTGATATCGAAACCTACGGTACCGGACATGATAAATCAACATTCCCGCCTTTGGCCGAGTCGAAAACCCGATTTATCAATACACACATTGTGGTTTGGAGCCTCGATGAACGATTTAGTTGGGCGATCGTCTGGCTTTGTGGCGTTAAACTAGGTTGTTGATTTTGGTATTTTTTAGGTGCATATTCTTTTACCGTCGATGGCCATGAGGGCTAGGCTAGCAGGTCCCGGTTCTCTTTGAACCATATCTACGCCTTCAGAGATGGAAAATTGGGGAAGCTGAAGCTGAGAATGCATAAGGCCTGGTGATATATTTGGGGCAGGTATCCTTTCTTGCAGGAAAAACTGTTGATTTATCGTGCCCAGCACCCTAGTATAGCGACAGAAAGACCTCCAACGCCAATAAAGCAGCACCGCTTCCCACTTCAATCCAAATCCGCAAACAGGGGAAAGAGATATGTGACAGCCGGATCACAGACCATCACTCGGTTTCGCGAATTCATCGCAGAATATGAAAATATAAAAAGAGTAAAAGTCCGGAAGCTATGTATTCCGAACAACGACCTACCAAAACCGCGGTCAAACTAGATCCAACGAGGTTTCGTCAAAGCACTGCTGGATTGAGGATTTCTGTGTCACGGGTAGAGATGCTTTTGCGCCGCCAACCCCAACCTTTTTCTAAACAGCTACAGAAACGGCCATTTTGGCGCAAGACAGGGGACCCCCGAAACAAACGGAAGACACTTTAAAATCCGATGTACTAAAACACGCAAATCCTTTTTGAGTATATAAACTCATTCCACAAACCACACCAAACCAAACCAAACCCAGTGCACCCGCAGCCACACGCAAACCAGAAACCAACACTCCCTACTAGCAGCAACATGAGACCGATAGAATACCAGCCAACACAAAGTTTTAAAAGTCGATATATGGCGGATTGTCGAACGGATTGAATTATCGCCTCTCGCTCAACTCTCCGTCCCACTATTACATCCACGTCTTTCCTCCATTCTACGGCACATGGCCAGAACTATATTCGGGCTGTAGGGCGAGATGGTAAACCGCATAGCCTAGCGTTAAAGTCTCGGAGTGCTTGCCAGAAATGGTTGAGTTTAATTATAATTGAATACCGGCAACACCACTAGCCAGTTCTACGGCGCCGGATGAATTCAATATTTCGATATTGCCAGTTCATGCTAATGGAATAGGATGAAAACATACAGATAAGTGTATATATGGGGTATGTGATTGCAATTAGACTAATATACACAGCAAGCAAGCATCCATCTATCTCCATATACATCGCACCCAAACCCCCGACTCCCAACTCCACCCAAAACACCGCACCATCCCGCACTACGCCCCCACACTGGCCACCGCCGTCCCTCTCTCCACAAATTCATCCACCCTCTTCCTCACCCTCCCCAACTCCTCCCCCTCCGGCTCCCACGTCAAATCCCACTGAAACATCTCCGGCAACTTCATGCGCCTCTCCTGGCAGATCTTGTAATAACTCGTCAACAAAAACGGCTGCATCAAACTCGGCATCAAATCCCTCGTACTAAACAGCACATCCTTACTCCCCATCAGCCTCTTCATATGCGCCACATACCCTCCACTGCGATCCCACATCAGCATCCCGGGCATCAACTGCCTCCTCGCCCCCGGCCTCGCCTCCCACACCCCGTCCCTATCTCCCACTAGCGCTTCTGCTAGCGCTCTCGTTTGCGAAAACAGGTGGATCCCGCTCGTCGCCCGTGGATTACACTCAATCGCCACGACCCCGCGCCCCTCGACATCCACGAGGTCCAACGCAATCTGTCCATCCACCGCCCCCAGCGCGCGCACAAGCACCTCCACATACTCGCGCACCCCCTTGTGCTCCACACTCACAAAACTGACCGCGCTGCTGCCATCAATCGTGTCTTCGACAGGGTACACCGCAAACGCCCTCACCCGCCCTGCACGCACAACCGCATAACTGCACAACCTCCTCCCCACCAGCCACTCCTGCGCGACGTAGTGGTTGTCCTCCCTGACATCCAGATTCGCCGGTATGGGTTTGCCGGGCTTAAGATGGTGCAGCCCCGCGCACGCCCGCCCAAACACCGGTTTCAGCGCGAGCTCCCGCGTGCGGTCCAGCTTCTCCATATCTGCGCGGGAGCGGCAGAGCCACGTCTTTGGCGCGGCTAGCCCCGCGCGCTGGAGAAGGCGTGTAAACTCCCACTTGTTGTGCAGGGCGATCAGCGTCTCGTACGGGGGCGCAAAGAGGCGCTTCAGTATGATGTCGTCGTTGCAGGTCGCGAGGTAGAAGATCTCCTCGTGCATCGGGATGATGATGTCTATGTTCTCGCTCTCGACCGTCGCGGCCACGGCGGCGATGTAGCCCGTGGGGTCGACGTGCGGGGCGGGGACGTGGATGGACTTGTGGACGGAGCGGGAGAAGCGGCAGACGTGGTAGTGCATTGGGTCGACGACGGTGATGGTGTGGTGGGCGAGGTGCAGCTGGCGCGCCAGGTCGATGGTGGTGGGGAAGCGGCCGTTGGTGAGGAGGATGTTGAGCGGGCGGGTGGAGGAGGGCGGGAGGGAGGGGGGGGTTTTGGGCTTGGTTTTGGTTTTGTGGTGCATTTTTTTGGTGTGTTTGTTGTGAGCTGGTTTGTGGGGGAAGGAAGGGGCAAATGGCCGTGAAGGGTGAGAAGGGGGAGGAAATGATGTTAAATCATGATCAGCTTCGGGCCAGTGACGTGACGCTGATCCGGCGTTACGTCATTCGCTGTCAGTCAAACAGCCAGCACAGGGGTTATGGGGGGGGTATAAATATTAGCAATTATTAATTATTTAATTATTAGCACAATTAATAGAGTGCAACAAGGAATCCCTTTTGGGAATCCATCTACACAAGGTGTCAGGGTTGCTACTTGCTTGGCAGGGTTGCTACTATCCTACTATTGGGCCAGATTGGGATGGTGTGGTCGCTGTTGATTGATCTCATTGCCGCACATAAGGCTAGACCGGTTGGCCAAAACAGGGTTTCGTACCTGCTTTTGGCACCTTTGTGGACAATGTCAATGGTGCACATTGCGCCACCATCGTGGAGAGACATGCGAGAGACACACAGCGCAGGCACGGGTGGTTTGCCAGCTTATCGCCACAGCGCCACTGTACGAACAGTAGCAGTGGCGCCTAAGGAGCGTCTTGTGCCAAGACATCAGTAGAACAGTAGAATAGTAGACGGCAATGATTGAACGACAGGTATTTCAGAAAAACCCCAAAACTGCAATCCCAAAGAGCGATAGGCACGGGCCGAGCGGGCTCGAGCTTTAAGCTCGGGCTTTAGGCTCGAACAGGTCGAGCCCCACCACCGACGAGCCCAGGCAGGCTCGAGCCTGGGAAAGTACATACTTGTATTACTAATGCATTATAGCTGGGTGGCATACATTAATAGATACGGCTCTATATACCGACTTGATGTGAGGTCTACTTCTAGGTATAATCATAACAGCTCGAGCCTTTACCTCCACAATCCGAGCCGGCTCTCGCGGGCTCTAGGCAAGGCTCGTCTTAGCTTAGTCTACAACTACAAAAACGAAATATCACCCGTCTACAACCCAAATACCCTTCGCAGCTCCCCACACGCCTCCTTATACACCTCGTCCCTCACCGCATCCCCCGCCACCGGATTCGGGCTCTTATCCCACGCATGCGCCGTCCCCCCCACCACCCTCCCCCCCACCCTCTTGCCCACCTCCCCCAGCCTCACCCGAAACCGTTCCCCCTCCGCCGCCAACTCATCCCACTCACACGTCCACAGCAGCACCTCGTCCGGCAACACGCCCAACAACTCCCCCCCGGCCACGCCGGGGCTCAAATACGGATCATCCATCGACACGTCCTTCGGCGGGTACAGATAGCTCGCGTCAAACAGCTCCGTAAACAGCCTCGGCAGCTCCTTATCGGGCCGCGTGTTCGTCCCGCGCCGCAGCTCGCGCGACGACGTGAAGTCCGTGCTCGGATACCACGCCACCACCACGCGCAGCTGCCCGCACCGCTCCCGCGCGCCGGCACGCAGCGCGGCCTCGTAGCGCAGGATGGTGGTGAAGGCCATGTTGCCGCCCGCGCTGAAGCCGCTGACGCCGACGCGGCGGGCGTCGAGCCCCAGCTCGCCGGCGTTCGAGAGAAGGTGCAGTATCGCGTCGGCGCCGTCCTCCACGGCCGTGGGGAACGGGTGTTCCGGCGCGAGACGGTAGTCCACGCTCGCCACAACCGCGCCGACCTGCTCGACCACGGCCGCAGCCCACCGGCAGTCGTCCGTTGCGCGGCCGAGCGTGAAGCCGCCGCCGTGGAAGTTGATCAGCAGTGGGTATTTGTGCGCTGGGTTGCGGGTGGCGTAGGATGGCGGCGTGTAGAAGACTATCGGGATGGCACCGCGGGTAGGGGAGAGCGTGGAGGGGATGGTGCGTGTGAATGTGGGCACGGGGGGGACGGGGGGTGCCATGCGATGGAGCGTCATGCCGGCGCCCATGAGCGTGCGCCAGAAGAGGGCTTCGGCGTGGAGGGTCCAGCGCGGACGGAGCATTGTGGATGTTGCGGGGATCCGGAAGTGTCAAGTTGGAGCGTTGCAACGTTAACCCGGGTGTTGAATAAGATCAAGTTTCAAGTTCCTCTCGCCAGAAACTGAAGGATTCGCCACAGTTCGAGTAAAAGTCTGGTGCCATTTATATCCATCAGGAATCAGGATCTTCTCGGACACCCGGGGCTTTACGCTCCAAATCTTGTGCGGTGTTCAGTTCGGGGAAAAGGGGGCGGTGTTCAGTTCGGGGGAAAAGGGGGGGGGGGGGAAAGGGGTAATGATATTGGTCCCTGGAGGTCACGTGGGGCTGATGTCAGCGTGAAGGTGGGGTGACGTCAGCAAGCAAGTGGTGGGATGGACTCTCATTTCTCCACTTGTCAGGGCCCGGGCCCAGATGTGCACCCCAGATAGAGTAGAGCCAAGTATCAGCCTTGCCCACCTCGTGAAATCGTGAAACCTTACAAACCCGGTTCTTGCTCTGCAGGTCGAGGGTCTCTCAGTTTCTGGCCCCGCGTACTATTCAAGCCACCGCCACCAAACCTCAGTTCTCCACATAACCACATCGTTGCTAGTACGTAAGCCAGCCCCCGAGCCCCCCCCAGAACCGAGTGATACCCCCTAACACATCCGTTCGCATCACTAATCTCCCTGCCATTGTGCTCCAGTACGGTGTAGAGAAATCTAGACACACATTCAATTGAACCCGCGTACCACCAACGTCGAGCCATTCAATGCTTCCCCCGGCCCTAAAAGCACAGTACCCATTCAATCCCTTTGACAGTGACGAACCAGATGTGTCCCACTCAGAGATTCTATGGCTTGCTGTATAGCTATTTCGCTCCCAGTTCTCGCGCCTACAAAGGCCGAGTGATACTTCATGATCCATATTTTTCGGGGCTGGCAATATCACTCGATTTACCGATCGGGGGCTCAGCTGGGGCAGTCGCGAATAACCAGTGACACTCCCAAAGACGGATTGCTCACGTTCCCGCCCGCTCTGGATAATAATACGATTCCCGAGCTAAATAAAAAAAAAAAAAAAAGCAAATCCCGGCCTAGACATGCACGCCAACAAGCCGAGTGATGCACGGTGATGTTTACAGTACCAAATTGAGGCAAAGTGCAATAGGCACGTTACCCGATATGGAGAGTCCCGGCATTAAGCCCATAATCACTGGTACGCACCGACATGCAGTGAGCATCCAATCCTCGCAATGAACGCTGGAGGGGGGGGAATAGTACTGAACCAGCAGCATCTCCGAAAAGTTATGGCCTACTATTGCGCTTCATGATCCGGCCGAGTGATACGCGATGACCCGCTAGTACCGCTTAGCGTTAGTCTTACTAGGAAGACGTCGTGCACATCATTCAATGGGGCCAAACCCCACGAGAACTCTAGTATCAAACCAGTAGTGTCTGTCTGGGGCTTGTGAGTTGCAATCTCGCTCTGTAGTTGTGCTCCACCGAGCTCGCAGGGGGAACGAGTGAGATTCTGTGATCTGCTTTCTCGGCCGTGGTGGTTATTAGTTCGTTTTTGGGGGGCGTCAATACCGAATAGAGCATAGCATTGGGACGCTGCAGAAGGTGCCATAATGTTATTTCCGCGGTGGTCAGGTTTCGCTGTAAGTAAAGTCGGCGGGACTCAGGGAGCCAGCGGGCTGGCAATTGTCAGCAAGCTGCAGTGTTTGTCTACACCCCACCAAAGCCCAGGATGTGCCGTAGTGAGTGAAGTGAGATAGAATTGACCAATGGAGCGAGCTACGGCGGATTACTCCGTGACAAGATCACACATTCAATTAGCCAGAGCGTCGAGACTACCCCAGACCTCCGAGCTAGGGCACGAGCAAATTCAATCTCCCCCAGCGAAGCCGTGATGCTAGTGGTGGCCGTTGACAGGGTCTTGTGGCTCGCTGTTTCACCCCGTAGTTGTAATGTGACGGGACTCACTGAAATCGAGTGATGGTTTGTGATCCTCGAATCAATAGCCAAACTCTCGTTGCTTCATTTCCACCGTGGGCAGCATCTGCTGGACATAACTGCAGAGAGAGGACTGAGTGAGAAGCGCTGTGGGGGGTTAGCAAATGTCTTCCACGAATGCTGGGGGTTCCAGAAGGATGAATATCTGATCGGGTGAAGTTACGACAGGTTTCTCTATATGAGCCAGCTAGCGTGAAGAGTCACCGCATCCAGCTGATCTTCAAATGCCAGAGCTGTACTGCCTTAGAGAACGAGTCATTCACCCCGACAACTAAAACGGCGTTAACGGTATTGAGCAGGTAGGTTAGCACTCCAGAGGTGATCATGAGGGTTCTATTTCGCGCAACATTTATGACTTTCAACAGGTTATCTGGCATATTGGGTGAAGTGCCACGATTCGTTCTGTACATAAACCCGGCCCGGCAGGAGCCTGAAGTTAGCTCTGTTCTATCCTCCAACTGGACCCAACAGTGCGAACTCAGGGTTATTGGGGTTGGTACGTTACACGATCCACTGTCCTAGCTGTATATATGATACGATGAATCGGGTTGTAATTCTGATGCTTTCTCAGCTTGTGATTTACATGAGTTGTATGCGTGATACCTTCCGCATAGACATCGGCCGCGCCTCTCTACTCATGAATCGGGCCAGGTGATATGGTGATATGACTGCAGCACACTAGAGAATGCGGGATTCTAGTCACGGTGAAACTATAGAATGAAGAGACAACGACCGGTGATTTTAAATATAGCTATATCAACATTCTCGTTAGAAAAAAAAACGGAATTCATATCTGGCTAACAACATCCATCAATCTCCTTTCTTTTACCATTGAGTATGCTTCATTTTTATGAAAATTGGGACCTCCAAGGTCCTACGGACCACCTAAACTTTTTCAACGAAGAACAGTGGGAAGAGGCCTATAGACAAGCACCATCGGCCCGTGCTGCAAAACTTATATTGGAGAAACTCCTCGACAAGCTAAGACTGTTAGTACAGAAATACAGTGATCTTCTTTGGAATCCTTACAGAACGAGTAGTAATCCACAAGAGTATAACGCATACTGGACCACATATTGTCATTGGTATATTCAAGAGAAACCGATTTTACTTGGTGAGCTACGCGCTGGGCTGCAGACTTTTATTGAACGCGGCTCAGGTAAAATATATTTTGACGATTATCCAAATGAAAGATTAGACACTCTGCGGAAAAGCAGTTATGAGTATAAGGTTTACTGCATTATAAGCAATCAATACGGCGTTTTGAAGACATTCCGCAAGGACCTAGCTGAGCAGTATAATGATGCTATGATACGGCGAAATCTGAATCCTACTGCAAGGGGTGCAAGGATATTTATGTTGGCTGGGCGTACTCCGACAGTAACAACAAATCCATAACAATAAGATTCAAATAGCAATAGTTTTCTTGTCTTTCTTTTTTCGTTTATTTCGGCTTTATAGGAGTAATATTAAAAATTTATCTTCAAAAAGAATTTTATACTATCAAATCAAATTCAAAATTTTGATTCAGATTTGTAAGTTTGCTAGAAATAATACGGATTTCAAAATTGAATAGCAAAATAATTTTCCTTAAACACATTTTTCCCGTAATCAGATATTTCTATGCAAAGAGTCGTTGTCATCTATTAGAAATTATACTAAAAAGATAACTATAAAACAGGCAGAAATAGTACAGCCACCTGCAAAGGTATTCGTTGGAGTGAGACATGGCTGAGTACGGTTTGAGACATGTCAGTGCGCTGTTATGGAGCGGTAAATGTGTCAAGAGTAATTTTACCAACAGTAGTAAATTATTTTGCCACTGGTGGTGAAAATAATACCAGTATTTATACCCTATAATGCTAATTTTTATGATAAAAGCATAGACCTTTTGGCCAAAAGCGGCGATATAATGTCAATATATATGAAAACTGTCCACCGGTGGGGAATCTCACCATCAGTGATGGTATTTCACTACCAGTGGGAGATTTTCATAAGTTTTGGCATTAATGATTGAATATTTACTTATTTAATATAGTGCAATATAAAGACCGAAACTCAATGTTTATACTGGTGGAAATGTACTAATTTGGGATAGCGTGCAGATACAATAACTGAAATTCAGTGCTTATATCACCAGTGGTAAATAATTTACTACCATTGGTAACATTACTTTTGAAACATTTACCACTCCATATCTGTGGCTTGAGGTTGCAAGATTTTGATATTGAGGTTCCGCAATTGAGGTTCCCGCAATTGAAGACACGATTTGATATCAGTACTTTATATATTCGTACCCGTTCTCCCCCTAAAATTGAAAAATGATATATGAAATATGGGTACTTGACTGCTAAAAGAAATAGTATGACCCGTACTTCCACTCGCAGTTGATGCCCGCTCTCAACTACTAACACTATTTGCTTTCGCACTCGACTTCAACATTGCACTCGGCCCAGACCCCGACCCAAAGTTGACAGTGACCTCGAAGTGGGTATCAATCTAAACTACTAGTATTTCGTGTACCATCATTGCCTTATATAACGGTTTAAACTCTTCGAGGCATAGAGGCTGCAAGCTTCTCAAAAAGCTTGGGGGAAATAGCTTCCCAACTCAAAGGGAAAACTCTAACATCGTTTATGGTGAAACCACTTGTGATAGTGAAACTAATCATTTGACTCTTGGTGTCTAGCCTTCAAATCCTCATAGATACCCTACGCTAGTTTGTACTGTAGTCAGTCAAATCTAATACTATCAACACCATAATGAGTCAGCTCAAAGAAAGGTTTAGGAAGGAGCGGGACTTACTGCAAGAGGAACAGATAGATCTTGCGATTAACAATTACTGGAAATCCAATGAGCCATCTATTCATGCATCTGCAGAAAATATAACGGGGGCCTCTTCTAAGAAAATAGAATAGAATAGAATAGAGACGGCGGTGCAAGATAGATAATCAGGTTGCAGATTATTCAAAGATACTATCGCTATAATTCAGTTTTCTTTCTGATGAAGACTGGGGAGAGACAGAACT